ACCTAAGTTTCTCCCCCCCCCCCCTTTGTTGTCCTTTTGATTTAAGAGTTTTAATTTCTTTTACCAACAGCAATGCACTGTATTTATGCTTTTCAGAGACTCTCAAAAGCATGATTTCCTTCTTGTGTCTTCCTGTTTCTATCAAAGGCGACAGTAATGACGCTGTGTGGTTTCCTGTTTATTCTCTGCTGGGCTGTGATGACAAAAGCAACTACTGAATGTGCCCTCCAGATGAGTGGACAATGTGACTGTACTGCAGGGTTAAAGTTAAAGTTCTCTCTCCATCTACCTCCTCCTAGTTTCCATTTTATGTCCTTACAGAGTGGCTGCATGTTTAGCAGAGAGAATATTCAACTCAGATTTGCCAGTTTAAAAAATGCCCCCATGTGAGTGTTCCCATTTCCCAGTCAGTCTGCCCACGGACCTGGGAGTCTTCAAAGGCCCTGTGTTTGCTGAGAGAAAGAGAGTGTGTGTGAGAAGAGAGCAGCAGACTGAGTGATTACTGTTACTCTTGACGAAGACCATTTGATCCTGCCAATTGCCAAACAACATATTCTTCTTCTGATCAGGGAAATCATATGGTGAAATCACCAAAATTTGGAGATTTCACAGTCTAAGTGAATCAACAGATGAAATGTTGCATCATCCTCAACATGCCTCTGATCAAATTACACAGAGAGTCACTGAGACAGATGCCAATTTTAGTTACGGGGTGTGTCAAATAAAAATACACACATCTCCTATTATCTGTGAGCAGGATGCAGTGCTGTTTTTCGAGCCTCATTCAAGTTTTATACTTTCTACTGAAAGTGGAGGGATTAAACTCTCATTTAGCCAGAGTGTGTGGGTCTGTGCATGCTTGTTTTTTTCCAGAGTTAAGTCAGTCACATCATTGAAAAACTATTTCATCGCCTCACTCAGTCTTTCCAGGAGTTTAACTGGCAGCTCAATTTTTCTGGGAATCTCTGGCCGGCTGGTTAAAACTGACTCCTGACTTCATTCTTTGCTGGAGCAAAAATGAAACATAGACCATGTCCTTATGCTCCAAAAAGTGTTTTTTCATTTGAAGTAACTGGAAGCAAAACTCATCCACCTATGGGAGAGCAAATTTACAATAAAATGTTGACATTGTACACTTTTGTCAAACAAGTGTGCAACACATCAACATGTCAAATACATAATTTCCACACTTGGATGAATGCGTCCCAGTCAAGCCATAACACAGTCAGAACTAAATGTCATTTCAAAAGATGATCATACGCCACTTTTTCGGGAATCACAAGAGTGCTTAAGAGTTCATCAGGTGCAGCCTCGGTTTATGTCGAGCATGTGTTTGGCTGAGTCCATGGCACTTTGCACCCTCATGTCTCTGGGGAATGTGACAGCCTCACACTGTACGTACCACTGGGAACTGTCTTAGACAAAACCATAGACACTGAGAAGACAAGTGCAGGATGACTAGTGGATCAATGAGGAAGCTTTTAGCTCTCAAGCAGTTCAGGTGAAGTGAAGGAGAAGTTACGAAACTCCTCCTGGTTGATCGAGGGGATCATAGGGTCATCGATGGGCGTGAGTGTGGGCTCTTCCTGAGTAAAATCTGGGTCGAAGTTGTTGACGTCCTCTGGTGTTTTCTGAAGGGGGATAATAAAGAATCATTCAGAGCCACAAAGTAAGACAAAGTCAAACACTACATAATGTCTGCTGAGTGTCATTATCATTTATACACACACACACACACGTTATCATGGCATCAATGAAGTCATTCATGTGACTTACGATCCTGGGCTTGAAGGGGGGCTCCATTTCTCTACGATTCAACTTCTCCCAATCGATGCCAGTGAAGAAAGCATGGCTGGTCACGGCGCTCTCTCCTCCCTCTTCAGCCACACAGCCCAGACGTCGGGCCGGGTTTTTGGTCAAGAACTGTGAAAACCAAAGATGATGGATGATTTTACAGACACTTAACACTAAATAAGGAATAAAAATACAAAGATCAGTAAGTAAGTTATCAAGCAAATGAATGTAAGATAACACAGCAACAACAACCAAACCAAACAAACAAACAACCAAAATCAGTGGATTTCAGATTATTTATTTATGACCCATACAAAGAGAGGAAATGTGATGCATGTAAATCAACTAGATTGAACTGGATCTTTCTTGGAGTAATGCCAAAATGGACTCAGGCCAGGATGACATCCAGTCAATCCCCGCCTCCAAACTACCCGCCCCCGCCCAGACTGTGTCTGGCGCCACCCACAATGTGAGTGGGTAACAGTTCAAGAGTGCAAATAAGGTGTCTCAAACTTCCTGGTGTTGTACATAGTAAAACAATAGAACCGTGGATCACCTGTTGATCTCCAACTGTTTCTCTGCTTCTATAGTAGTAATAGGCGGTGGAGGCCAGAGAGAGAAGCCCAAACAAAACAAACTTAAAATTGAAAAGCTTTGTCTTTACTTGCCTCTGGGATGAAAGTGAGAAAACAAATGTGTTTTGGACAGCTCTCTCATGGCTGTGGAGTTTGTGCAAACCTTAGGGCTGGCGGTGACATTCAGACTAAGCCACAAACAAATTAACGAGCCTCTGTCTCCCAGTGACAGTATTCAGATTAACCTGAAGTCAGTGGAAAGATGAATTTGTCTTGCCACATTTGTCTAGCTCCAAACACTATTAACTACCAGAGGCCCAAACAACACGGCATGCTTCACTACGTTCACAAAGAAAGAAAAAGGAGATTAGAAAGACGTCAATGCAGGCAAAGAAGCACTAAAGGAGATGAACTTAAAACACTAACAAAACCAACAGTATGGTTTTATACTGTTGAGCAAGTACACCACAGTAATCAACATGCAGAGACATGAAACCTGCTTGATGTCAGAATCACTGTTAACATCAAGAAATCTATTTTTTTTCTATAGGGAGGGAAAGAAACGTTACAGTTTAATGCTCATGCAGTTGCGTGCATGGATTTGCAGCTGTGAGCATGAATTTGATGATGTGATTTGTAGTTAATGGGATAAAACATATTAAGAAACCACACCAGTAGGGTCCTTGAAGTGGAAATAACTGAGTTAGACAGCCCAGTAGGGGTCACTCAGTTCAGGAGCTTACAGACCGCAAAACTTAAGAGAAACTATTCCACTGAGGTTTATGCCATCTTTCCATGGCTACACGTCAGCTGTGCCATCCTTAGCATCAGACCAGCCATGTCAGCACTACTGCATGAAGAAGCCTTTTCCTTTACACCAGCAGAAAGATACAAAGCAATAATAAAGGTATTTTATTTGACTGATCAACAATTTTGATTGAATCTATTTATCAAAAAGTCATGTTCGACAACGGTCACTACTATTAATGTAGTTGTTGCTACTTCTCTCTCTCTCTCTCTCTCTCAAAGTGTCCTGAGATAACTTATG